TAGAGAACATTGGAGAAATGCTGCAAGATATTGGCAAAGAAAAAGAGTTCTAGGAAAAGACCCCAGAGGCACAGGCAATCAAAGCCAAAAAATTACAAATGGCATTATATCAAAATTGAGAAGCTTCTGCACTACAAAAGAAACACTCAGCAAAATGAAGAGGCAACCAACAGAATAGGAGAAATTATTTGAAAACTATGCAACTGATAAAGGATTAATATCCAGAATATATAAAGAACTCAAGAAACTCAACAACAAAAAAGGCACTTAAACAGGCATTTTTCAAAAGAGGAAATTCAAATGGCGAACAGACACATGAAAAAACGCTCAAGATCACTAGCCATCAGGGAAATGCAAATCAAAACAACAATGAGGTTTCACCTTACCCCAGTTAGAATGGCTCTCATACAAAAATTAATAAATAACAAATGCTGGTGAGGATGTGGGGAAAATGTATCTAATCCATGGTTGCTGAGAATGTAAAATGGTACAGCCACTGTGGAAGACAATATGGAAATGTCTCAGAATACAGACCTATCAAATGACCCAGCCATCCCACTCCTGGGAATTTGCCCAAATGAAAAGAAATCAGCATATGAACAAGTGATCTGTAACCCATTGTTTTTTAAGCTCCATCACAATAGTGAAGATAGGAAATCAACCCAGATTTCCATCAACTGAAGACTGGAAAAAGAAATTATGTTATACCTACAACTATGGCATACTAGAGAGCAATAAAAAAGAAAAAAGACATCCGGTTGTTTGAAACAAAATATATTCAACTGGAAACCATTATACTTAGTGAATTAAACCAGTCCCAGAAGATAAATACCATATGTTTTCCCTGATCTAGTGTAACTATTAGAGTACCTGAAAGGTAATCTATAGAAGTAAAATCAACACATTGAGATTCTATGATTTTTAACAGTCCTTGTCTTGACTGTTGAAGAACGGTGTTTTTTTCTTCACAATACTTGTTGAACTCTTTACTCAGGGTAGGGTTAACATTATGAGTATAAAGTTAACTGAAAATAGATCTTTGTAGAAAAAAAAAGAATGGGAATAGGAGAGGGAAGAGGAAGAAGAGTGGGAGCATGGGTGAGAGAGCAGGTATGGAGGGAAGTATCACTGTGTTCCTAAATCTGTATGTAGGAAATACATGAAAGTTTTGTAATTTAAATAAAATTTAAAATAAATAAATATATATAAGTATAAATAAAATAGCATAGTACTGGCATAAAACCTGATACATAGATCAATGGAATAGAATAGAGAGCCCAGAAATTAATCCACATACATACAGCCAACTGATATTTGACAGAATGCTCAGACCATACAGTGGAGTAACATAGTTTATTCAACAAATGGTGTCGACAAATCTGGATTTATATATGTAGAAGAATGAAATTATATCCATACTTCTCACCATATATAAAAATCCACTCCTGATGGATCAAAGACTTAAATTTAAGACCTGACACTAAAAAATTGTTGAAGCAAAATGTAGGGGAAACACTCCAAGACATGGGTGCAGGATATGACATCTTGGACAAGACACACAAAGCATAGTCAACAAATGCAAAAGTAAATAAATAGGACTATATCAAACTCAGAACCTTTGGCATAGCAAAGGAAATGATTAATAGAGTGAAGAAACATCCAACAGAAGGACAGAAGGAGAAAAATGTTTACAAATCACCCACCTGAAAAAGGATTTTTATCCCAAATATATCGAAACTTTAAAACCTCATTATCAAAACAGCAAATCCAACTGAAAAAAATTGGGCAAAGGACTTCAATAGACAATTATCAAAAGAAATGCAAATGGCCAACAAATATATGAAAAAATGTTCAACATCTCTAGCCATTTGGGAAATGCAAATCAAAATCACAATGAGGGGCTAGCCCTGTGGTATAGCGGGTAAAGCCAATACCTGCAGTGCTGGCACCCCATTTGGGCACCAGTTTGAGTCCCGGCTGCTCAACTTGCAATCCAGCTCTCTGCTATGGCCTGGGAAAGCAGTGGAAGATGGCCCAAGTCCTTGGGCCCCTGCACCCACATGGGAGTCCTGGAAGAAGATCCTGGCTCCTGGCTTCAGATCAGTGCAGCTCGGGCCATTGCAGTCAACTGGAGAGTGAACCAGTGGATGGAAGACCTCTCTCTGCCTCTTATTCTCTCTGTGTGTAACTCTGACTTTCAAATAAATAAATAAATCTTTTAAAAAAGTCACAATGAGATTATCACCTCACTCCTGTCAGAATGGCTAAAATCCAAAACACAGAGAGTAACACATGCTGGGGAGGATATGGAAAAAGGGGAACACTTATACACTATTGTGGGCATAAAAATTAGTACAGCAATTGTGAAAAACAGTATGGAGATTTCTTTAAAAACTAGAAATAGACTTTACATATGATCCAGCAATTCCACTACTGAGTATATACCCAAAAGACTTGAACACAATGTATCAAGGTGCCCATCATCAGATGAATGGATAAAGAAAATGTGGTATATATACACAATAGAACATTACTAAATTACAAAAAAAGAATGGACACAACTGGAGGACATCCTGTTGAGTGAAATAAGCCATACCCAGAAAGGTAAATACTGTATCTTCTCACTTATATGTGGGAACTAAAATTTAAAAAAAAAAAAAAAAAAAAAAAAAAACAGAAGAAAGGAAAAAGAAGAAATATTTGTGTGCATCGTATTGCTGCAAATATAGTCTTGTAAAACCTTGTTTTTATACCTTTGTGAAATCAATGGTTTAACATGTTATACTACTATAGTTTTAATGATCTGTGATTATTTTAAAATTTACTGTGTATGGATGAAATGGTCATTTTTCCATTCAATTATTTTTATAGCCATTGCCTATATTTTCACTAAATTAGGAATTATTTAAACTTCTTATTCAGTGAAGAATTAAGCCTTTTTACTGTAATGTGAATTTAAAATATGTTATCTCAAAAGCTACAAAAAGAAAGGGAAAAGGAAAGGGGGTTAGAGGGAAATGAGGGATAGAGGGAGGCAGGGAGGGAGGAAGGGAATATCATTATGTTCTTAGGATTGAATCTTCAAGGCACATTGAATCTGTTAAAAACTAAATAAAACTTAAAATAAATAAATAAGTAAATAATAAAAAATAAAAATAAAAAACCAAGAGCCTGTGTCCTTGATTAGAATAAATTCTCATGAGAGAAACTTCTTCAAATAATAATAATTTTAAAAAGCATTTCATTCAGTTTGTTATCTGAACATTTCTGCCCTATGTGAATTCTAGGTATTTCTGTCCCACCAAAGAGTAAATTATCACACTGCTTATCCCAGGATGATGGAACAGTGAGTTTGACCCATAGTCTCCTACAAGAAAAGTTAATTGCTCTGAAAATAGAAGGAAAATTGCAAGGAAAGTGTATGCCATTTGTGAAGGTGCAGGGCATTAGAAGAAATGAGAACAGAGTCAGAAAACTAAAAGAGAGAGAAAAGAAAAGGGAATTTGTGCTCACAAAAGAATTAAGAATGAAGAATGGCTCTGCAGAAAAGAGAGATGCTCAAGAGAAAACAAGTTGCCTAAAAAAAGAAGAAGGCATGCTAAATTAATTATGACTTTGAAATATTGCACCCATTCCTTAAATCTAACACAACCTCAAAAAGAATGAAAAGACACTTGTACAAGTTAGAAGTAACAGAGCCCGTGAGGATTTAGCTGTCTATCAAGACCATTACACAGGATGTTTGGAGAACTGGAACAATTGCACACCCACAGGTCCTAGTGCTTCCTTGCAGCCAATTTATTGAATTAGCACTTTGTATTTCACTTCTAAAACAAAATATAAACATCTGAAAGACCACAGCATAGTAATGTGGATGACAGACCACAGGGCACAAAGTCCCTGAAATTGCACTTTAAGTCCTATGGCTCTCATAATGAAAATAAAATATATGTATAACAAGGTGCTTATTAAAGTAGACACTACACTAAGACTCAAGGCTCTTGTTGCATTTTTCCCACTGACATTGATAAAAGTGTTCATCATTGAAACTTATTAAATCTCCTCTTTATTTTTTATTAGTTGAGCAACTTGGAAAAATCATGTTCTAAGTCCCAGTTTCTAAGGCTAATTTCATCCTTTTCATATTCTTCTCAGAGATTTTTTTTAATTGACTACAAATAAGATATGGAAATTACCAAGCCAGGTGTCAGGTATATCAAAATCATTATTGATTATTATTATTTCACTATATTTGATAGGTTGTTCCCCCTTCTCGTCCCCTTTTCTGACATTCTGTCCATGCGGCGGTGCCCCAATCGGGTGCCTGGTCACGCACAGTCCATGCACTCCTTGTCCAACCATAAAGGTGATCACGTGTCTTCATCGAATCAAACTCCTGGTCACATAGCAGGCGGCTCGGACGCCAGCAGAAAGCTTATCATTGCTCCACCTGGTGTTTTCTCAACTCTTGGTCAGTGGAAAAAGAAGTACGGGAAGTCCCAAGGCCGTAGTTGTTGACTCAACCCTGGGGTTATGGAAAGGTCCCGATATCGCAGCTCAACAGAAACCATAAACATCCACATGGCAGTAACTATTGCAAACGGTCAGCAAGCTAAGCCTTAGCATGTGGGCCCATGGCCAGCTCATGGGTCCCCACAGGTGGGGTGACATCTGAAGACAGGTTCAAATCCCTGTTCCTCCACTTAGTAACTGTGTGACTTGGGACAATTACTATCACTTCTCCAGGTTTCTATTTCTTTGATTGCAAAATGCAGAAAATGAGACGTATGTTTCTGAGGTATTGTGAGGACTAAATTAGATCATGTATATAAAGAGTTTAGCATAGTAGCAAATCCATAGCAAGTAATCATGAAAGGGTAATTACTGGTGTTGTTATAACAACAATATTATCTTCTCTTTTAAAAAAGATTTATTTATTTATTTAAAGAGCAGAGTTTTAGAGAGGCAGAGGCAGAGATAGAGAAAGAAAAGTCTTTTACCTGCTGGTTCAATCCTCAATTGGCTGCAACAGTCAGAGTGGAGCCAATCCAAAGCCAGGAGCCAGGAGCTTCTTCCAAGTCTTCCATGTGGGTGCAGGGGTCCAAAGACTTGGGCCATCTGCTACTGCTTTCCCAGGCCACAGCAGAGAACTGGATTAGAAGTGGAGCAGCCGAGACTCGAACCTGCACCCATATGAAATGCCAGTGCTGACACCCGAGGCTTTAACCCGTTGCACCACAGCGTCAGCCCCAACAATATAGTCTTCTATAAGAGTGAAGCTGTTTAGTGAAACTGGATGTACTTATGTGTGCTCAAGTAAGGGAGTGATTTGAAAGGTAAAGATATAGTCTCTGACCCAATATCTTTGTTGAATTCTTTCCTAGGATTTAACATCGTCTTTTTAAAACTATAAGCAGAAATAAATTTGTTAAAAAATGTGTGAGTGAGGGGAGTGAGTTATTCAAAAATTAGAATGCAATTGTTTAAACTTGAATGTTTGGTTCCTAGCATATCCTTAAATCAGAACAAAGAAAAGGAGGGATTCTGGTGGGGAAAGAAAAGTCATCATGAATGATTTGACGGCTGCCTTTGAAAATAGGCTCAGCTCTGAGACTGCAGATGAGGATTCCAAGGAGCCACAGAGCAGCATGGGTTCAAAATACAAGCAAAAGAGAGAAACCAGAAGGAAACATTAGAAATACACATTCATTCAGCCATATATCCATCCAATTATCCAACCATGTGTTAGTTAATAAAATACCTACTATATATAATGTCTAAATGTCTCACAATAAACGTAAAATGACACCATCCCTACATTCAAGGAACCCAGAGTGGAATGGGGGTGGGGTCAATAAACTTGTAATCAGTACAGTGCATTATGTAAGTCCTATAACCTTAGAGTATATCAGTTGTTTTGGAAATACAGATGACAAGAAGTGGAAAGATAGAAGGATAAGGATAAAACCATCAAAGGAGTCTGGGAAAAGTGCCCTGTGATCTCTCTCTGTCAGTTCTTAACAGAGAATAAGCTGGAAGGGGCATATTTCAGTCTGAGAGAAGGGAGGCATGAAAAGGCATGACCTATTGCAGACCTGCAGGTAATTCTGTGTGATTCAAGCACAGGACACATAAGAAGAAAAGCACAAGGAGGGTTGCAAAATATGAGCCAAATTGGATGCACTGAGCAATTTTTAGGTAAGGAAATTATATACTCATACTTGCCTGTTAGAAGATTCTAGGAGCCAGCGCTGTGGCTTAGTGGGTTAAGCCGCCACCTGCAGTGGCGGCATCCCATATGGGCAGCGGTTCAAGACCTGGCTGCTCCACTTCTGATCCAACTCTCTGCTATGGCCTGGAAAAGCAGTAGAAAACAGCCCACATCCTTGGGCCCCTGCACTCAAGTGGGAGACCTGGAAGAATCTCCTGGCTCCTGCCTTCAGATTGGCACAGTTCCAGCAGTTGCAGCCAACTGGGGAGTGAATCAGTGGATGGAAGCCCTCTCTCTCTCTCTCTCTCTCTCTCTCTCTCTCTCTCAGCCACTCCTTCTCTCTCTGTGTAACTCTTACAAATAAATAAATAAATCTTTAAAAAAGAGAGAGAGAAGATTCTAAGTATCTTGTATATTATTGACTAAAAGAAGTCAAGGTCAAAGAGGGGGCCACTATGGAGGCTTATTTAAGATTTATTTATGTATTTGAAAGGCAGAGATACAGAGAGAGAGAGAGAGAGAGAGAGAGAAATCTTCAATCTGCTGCTTCACTCCCCAAATGCCACAAGCTGCAATGGCTGGGCTGGGCCATGCCAAAGCCAAGAACCATGAACTTCTGGGTCTCCCACATGGGTGCAGGGGCCCAAGGACTTGGGTCATCTTCCACTGCTTTTCCAAGACCCATTTAGCAGGGAGCTGGATTAGAAGAGGAGTAGCCGGGACTCAAACTGGCACCCATATAGAATTCTGGCTGGCACTGCAGGCAGAGGCTTAACCTTCTATGCCAAAGTACAAGCCCCTATGGAGGCTTTTTAAGTGTGTCAGGAGAGTCAACTATCTGAAATAAGGTAATGGTAGCATTAAAGGAAGGGAGACACATTTCAAAAACTAGACTTGATAGGATTTGCTGGCCAGGAGGTGTGTGAATAACTCTGAGCTTTCTGAATTGGGTAATAGAGTGAATGATAGTGTCAGGAAGTCAGAAAAAAGAATGTAGTCAGTGGACAAGTCTCACAGTGTGCAAAGGGCCAGTTCCCTGGAAGAGAGGCAATCCCACTTAAGTTATTTGTAAAAAGACTTCAAATATAATGACTCTAATAATTGCAAAGAATTATTTGTATCTTTTTTTTTACAGGCAGAGTGGATAGTGAGAGAGAGAGAAAGACAGAGAGAAAGGTCTTCCTTTACCACTGGTTCACCCCTCAATGGCCGCTGCGGCCGGCGCACCGTGCTGATCTGAAGCCAGGAGCCAGGTGCTTCTCCTGGTCTCCCATGCGGGTGCAGGGCCCAAGCACTTGGGCCATCCTCCATGGTACTCCCAGGCCACAGCAGAGAGCTGGACAGGAATAGGAGCAACCGGACAGAATCCAGCGCCCCGACCAGGACTAGAACCCGGTGTGCCAGTGCCGCAGGCGGAGGATTAGCCTATTGAGCCACAGCGCCAGCTGAAAGTCAGTATCTTTTACCATTCCAGCTTCTTCCTTTCAGTGTGGCACTGAAGCAGTATCGGTATACAAATAAGAGTGCCGTGAACTTTAATGAGCTTGAAAATATAGCTAAATAATTGTTAGTTCCTCTCAACAGCTGAAACACTCCTTCTTAATGATGCTAAGTATTAATTATCTATTTCTGCAGATAAATCCAGGGAAGCCAATCTGGGAAGAAACTCTGTCTAGGTGATCTTGGTGAATGCTCCCCCACCCCAAAGCTGACCACGATTTATCAGAAGATATTAGTATCTCATCCCAGACCAAAAAGCCCTGTGTCCAGTGTCTCTCTCCTGCCATCTATGGGGGTTGCTATAGGTTGGATATGGTTTTAGTGTAATCTGAAAGACTCAAGTGTTGGAAGTTTGGGCCTCACTGTGGTGATTTTGAGAGGTGGTGAACTCTTTAATATGTGTGGCCTGGTTCAGTGTGATTAGATCATTGGGAGTGACAGAAAAACCAATGAAATTCTCTCAGGACCCTGGATAATTCTTGTCAGAGTGAATTGTTATGAAAAGAGCAAACCTGACACCTAAATCCATCTGGCTGCCTGTCTTGCCATGTGGTCTCTCCCTTTTGCAAGTGTTCCCACTGTGATGCCATCTGCCGTATGGTGCTATAGCCAGAAGGCTCTCACAGGGTCAAGCAGGTGTTCTTGGATATCAATAACTGGGACCTAAATAAACCCCTTTTCTTTATAAAGTACCTTGCTTTGGGTATTTTGGTATAGAACAAAAATGAACTAATACTTGCATCATCAGGAAGTGACAAGAATACCTACATCCGATAAGAAAGCATCAAAGGTGTGGGATGATGGGCAATCCCAGCCATCTTCCAGCCATTTCCCACACATCTGTCTCATTTTTGTGTGATTAGCTAAGAAAAAAGAATAGAGTAAGAAGCTACCATTTATTGAAGACTCACCATGCACACAGACCTACGTGAGGTTCTTTACATCTATTGTCTCATTCATCACAAAGATACCATTTACTCTCATTCCTATTTTACAGACTGAGCAATCAAAGTTCAAGTAAGAGAAGTGATTTCTCAAAGCTTTTCAGCTAGTAGCACAGCCAGCATTCAGGGAGAGATCTCTTTAATGCCCAAACAAGTTCTCTTAACCCCTATGTTTTAATATCTTTATTTTTGATCACTTCAAAGCCTTTAAAAAGGAGTTTGTCAGGGAAATATGCACTAACTTTGTTCAGAACCTGTAACAAATCCGGTTTGACTTTCCTTTGGGTTCAAAGATCTGACCATTTAAGCCCACCCAGAGACGACCTACCAATGAACACATAATCCCAGGTTAGGCTTTGCTATTTGAACAAGAATGACAGATAAATATTATTACTTGGAGTCTACAGTCCCCTAATATTAAATATTTCTGCAATACTTCCTCTGGGCTTCTCTCAGCAGTGATGTATTTTTTTTAGCATTTATCCACTTTTTGCTACTTTAATCTGTTCTGAATAGACAGTATTCTCAGTCGGTCAAAAGTGCCATTTTCTTTAACAGCCAAGGTTTTTCACGGTGATACTAAATAATATAAATGATGTTTCATTTGATGATTGGTTTATGCTTTCCGCAGCCCCTAGTGGAATGAGACACTTGGGCTTCCCCAGTAAATTTTGCCAGCTCCCCAATCTGGTACGGCTATCAAGTTCTCCCCTAGAAAATCTAAATCTCTGCTTAAAACACTAACTTCTTCCTCATTTAATTTTTTATCGCCAAGAGTTTACAACTGACTTTACGGCCCTGGAATGATTAATTTTTAATGCCTTTCTTTCCTTGTTCTTTGACCAACTTCCTCCATTTTCAATTTGAGTGCAATTGTACCTTTCTAAAAAGCATTTGTCACTTGCTGGTTTGCATATTTCAGGAACCTGAGGTAGCTGTTGCAGAATGGAAGGCAGGCATTCCTGCAGAGAGTAACTGAAAGATAGACAGTAACTCTGTGCCTTTCATGTGACTCCTGTTGATAGCAAACTCTGTAGCATCAGTAAATCTTTCAGCTCTAGGTCTTGGCAGGCAATGAATTCCCGGAGAGGGTTATCGTACTAAATCCTGTCATTGTCACGCATAAGGTATGGATTGAGTTGCATCTTTCAAACTACTGAACCATCATTAGGGAAAACAAATAAGAGAGATAAACCTAGAAAACAATTTTTATCCTCTCCTACCTACCCACCAAAGAAAGAAGACAAAAAAAGGACAAAAACAAAAACCAGAAGTTTGTTTTGCAAGTAAAGCAGTTCACATATTTTTTAATCCATACAGCATACAGTCATTTAAGATGATATAGGACACTTAATGACAGGAGGAAAATGTTTATATATACTCAATGAGAAAATGCAGATTACAAAAAAGTGATTGTAGCATAATTAGTTTTTTTTTTTTTTTTTTTTGACAGGCAGAGTGGACAGTGAGAGAGAGAGACAGAGAGAAAGGTCTTCCTTTGCCGTTGGTTCACCCTCCAATGGCCGCCGCTGCAGCCGGCGCACCGCGCTGATCCTGGCAGGAGCCAGGAGCCAGGTGCTTTTCCTGGTCTCCCATGGGGTGCAGGGCCCAAGCACCTGGGCCATCCTCCACTGCACTCCCTGGCCATAGCAGAGAGCTGGCCTGGAAGAGGGGCAACCGGGACAGAATCCGGCGCCCCAACCGGGACTAGAACCCGGTGTGCCGGCGCCGCAAGGTGGAGGATTAGCCTATTGAGCCACGGCGCCGGCTCGCATAATTAGTTTTAAACGGTATATTTGGGTATTGAATGACTGCAAAAATTTATGATGGTTATCTCTGAGGAAGACTGAAATAACTGTTTGCATCCCTTGCTTTCTAAGTTTTCCATACAGCTATGCATTGTTTTCGTAATTTAAAACAGTTATTTAAAATAGAAATTTCTTACACTTCGGATAATAATTAAAATTAAATATTCACAGGTCATAGTTCAGAGAGTATAGGGAATACATGAGATAAGCTATGAGAGGGTAAAAATAATTTAATATTTAGCAATATATGGAGAACACTGATAGGAAAATTCCTAATTTTCAATGTATATGGTCTTATCACATTTTACAAGCCTCAGAAAGTTTACTTACATTGCTCAGTTCACACGGATTGTCAGTATCAAGGCAGATAAATCTTGGAACTATGCAATTTAAAAATGTTTGTCATTGTCACAATCCCATATTGACTTAATAGAAGTAACTTTCTACACACAATTGAACTACTGCATAGATTGCTTCCCTTTTTTAATGCAAACAAGAAATAATGACATTGAGCCCCAATGCTAAATCAAGAGCATATTTCTAAACTACTTTTATTTGTGCTTTTAAAAAAATTGGGGACAGTGCCATGGCACAGTAGGTTAATCCTCTGCCTATGGCACCGGCATCCCATATGGGTGCCGGTTCTAGTCCTGGCTACTCCACTTCCAATCCAGCTCTCTACTATGGCCTGGGAAAGCAGCAGAAAATGGCCCAAGTTCTTGGGCCCCTGCACCCATGTGGGAGACCAGGAAGAAGCACCTGGCTCCTGGCTTCAGATTGGCGCAGCTCCAGCTGTTTCAGCCATTTGGGGAGTTAACCAACAGAAGGAAGACCTTTCACTCTGTCTCTCCTTCTCACTGTCTATAACTCTACCTCTCAAATAAAATTAATAAAATCTTTTAAAAATATATGTGCATCTGTAAAATATCTTCTTTCCATTACATTATGAGCATGTTATAGAATCTGATGCATTTTTCACATCCACTGGTCTCCCTAACTCTTTGATTTATTCATTTTTAACCACAATATCATCAGAAATTACATTTAAAATATTTAACAACCTCTGCAGAAAAATAAATTAATATAAAGTAAAAATCTCCATTCTAAGTAAACAAAACCATAGCTATTTATAGAACTGGTTATCAGGTGATATAAGTTGTCTCAAAGATTATTTGTTTAGTAAAATAATTTTTACCAATATTAAAAAATACTGGCATTGTGGCCAGTGCTGTGTTATAGTGGGTAAAGCCACTGCCTGCAGTGCTGGCATCTCATATGGGTGCCAGCTCAAGTCCATCTTCTGATCCAGCTCTCTGCTATGGCCTGGAAAAGCAGTGGGAGATGGCCCAAGTCCTTGGGCCCCTGCATCCATGTGGGAGACCGGGAGGAAGCTCCTGGTTCCTAGCTTCAGATTGGCGCAGCTCTGGGAGTGAACCAGCAGATAGAAGACCTCTCTCCCTCTCTCCCTCTCCCTCTCTCCCTCTCCCTCTCTCTCCCTCTCCCTCTCCCTCTCCCTCCCCCTCTCCCTCTCCCTCTCCCTCTCCCTCTCCCTCTCTCTGCCTTTCCTTTTATCTCTGTGTAACTCTGACTTTCAAATAAATAAATAAATCTTTTTTAAAAATACTAGTATCATCTTTTGTTTGTAATACTGTCATTTAGCCCCTACTGGGGTCAATATTTATTTTATTTTTATTGACACATAATTATATATTTATGGAATATATTATGATAACATAGATATATGTGTACGTGGCACAATGGTCAAATAAGGATAATTTTCAAATCTATCACTTTAAATATTTATCATTTTTGGTGGGAAGAACGTTTAAAATTCCCTCTTCTAGCCTTTTTGAAATACACTCCCATGCCACATACATTTCAGTCTACAATAGACTGCATATACAACAGTGTTTCTATAAGAGTATATTACCTTGTGATATTGTAGCTGTCTTAGTTTGTACAAGTACACCCTATGATGTTCAGACTTTGATGTTCACACAATGACAAAGTCATGTAATGATTCATTCTTGGAATGTATCCCCCTTATACACCTTATGACTCTACACACTCTATTACTGTTAGCCATCATCAGGCTACGTGCAATAGGGCACTAGCACTTATTTTTTTAAAAAAATGGAAAACCTTGTCAATTGCAGCAACACAGGTGAACCTAGGAGAAGTTACATCAAGTGAAATAATAAGCCAAGCACAAAGAAACAAATATGACACGATCTCACTAATTTGTGCAATCTAAAATAGCTGGGTCATAATTTGAAAGAAAAAAACAAACTGTTCTAAAGTGATGATCATTAGATCATTTTAGTATTGAATCATGAACTTCTATCACCATCAGTGTTGCTTATGATGCTAAAACCTCTCAAAGTCTGCTGAAGCAGAGCAATTACATTAAAAAATTTGCTAGTTCTTATAATAATTTCTAAATATTGTGTGTAACCAATGGCTCTATAATGAACTAAGTCATATAAATCATTTGTTAGCATGCCATACTTAATTAAATCCAATCTAAACCTCCTAACACCAGAGATTTGGAATGGCTTACATTTGAATCCTGATTCTATTACCTTTGTTGTAGATAATCTTAATTTCCTCACCTATAAAGTGAGAATTATGATGGCTATTTCAGTACTCAAACAAGTCACTGTACATGATACCTAGCATAGAAACCTCATGTAAACATTAATTCTCACTTTTATTAAAATAAGAATTGTTGCTACTTATGAATGGTGAATGTTCCATGAATTTTCAAAGATTTATATCATTAACCATACAGGCAATTCTTGCCTCATGACTCCATCAATCTCCAAACCTTCCTCTTATCTCATGACCAATATTCATTCTGAAACAGCAGGCCATTGTTGCAATGCCCCCTATTTCTGCCACTTTTTTGTCCCCTATTCACATCTCTCCAAGGATCTCAGAACAAAAATCCCATGAATGGTGCAAACCTCATTTCTTATGACCAAAATCACACAGTGACTCCAGGGTTGGGTTCTTTCTGCTACAGTGGACCACAGCTGCACCTGGGATCTGGCAGAGGTGACATTTCTTGCCAAGAGTTCTGACTCCTCTAGTAAAGTCTAAACTTCCTCTTGCAAGGGGAGAAGGCAGGAATAGAAGCCAGGGGACAAGAGCCAGGCAAGTTGGCTGGCAAGCACAAAGGCAGACCCACAATAGTATTCACCTTGCACCAAAGATAGGGCTCAGGTTGGGGTCATGAGAAAAATAAGTTAGGGAATTCTGTGGTCCCAGGAGGCATTTCTATGACTAGCTCAGAGTCAGAACTTCACAGAGAACACAGAGTGGCTCAAGTACCAATTAGTCAGATCAAAGGAGCAGTAGTACTTTGGGTTTTTATTTAGTGCCAGGCAGTAACACTTGGATGAGAGAATACAGAAATATCTAGGAAATCCCTGGGTTGAGCTGACATGTCAACCTCAATGACAGGAGGAACACTAGAGTGGACAGTTAGTACCCAACCAACAGGAACATGCACTATGCTCCACCCACCCAATCACTATGCTGCTGTGATCTAGCAGAAACTGTCTACCTCTTGAAAACAATACTCTAACTGTACAATCTTCCAATTACATTTTTCTAGTGATAATTTCAGAACAATTGCCTACAAGGCAAATGTCCATGAAATTGAACATGAAAATTAGGTGATAGTAAAACAAGATGCAGATCATCCACACTGAAGAGGGAAAGAAACTGAATCCAAGCTGCAATTACATTGACTATGACTTTTAATGATTCACACACAGCACGATGATTTCATCAGCACCTTTCTTTTTTGGTAGGGTTCAGGAAGATTGGGAGGGGGGAATACTCAAAGGAGAGAACAAAGGAAGGGATGGTTTAAAAACTTCTCTTGACCCTCCTGAGATGAGTGTCTCCTACACTTTGTCTTCCAACTCTACATTTCCCCAACAGATTCCCCAGTCCACCAAGAGAACCCTCAGTAACATCATGCCATTCTTCTCTTCATCAACCATAAATCTGAGTACCTATTATGTCCCTGGCTTTGTGGTAGGCAAAGGTATAAGTAAGTAAATAAGCAAAAGAAAATAATATAAAATAATATAAAACTAGAATGGATAATATAAAGTTGGCACACTTTCATGGGTGGTATCTTTACAGCAACTTTATGTCATTAGGAAGGCTCATTAGAATAGTGTTAGAAACCTCATACTTTGACTGCAAGCAAGCCTAGTGTATTGGTAAGAATTCTCAAGAGAGGCTGATGCCGCAGCTCAATAGGCTAATCCTCTGCCTGCGGTGCTGGCACACTGGGTTCTAGTCCCAGTCAGGGCACTGGATTCTGTCCCAGGTGCCCCTCTTCCAGGCCAGCTCTAGGCTGTGGCCCAGGAGTGCAGTGGAGGATGGCCCAAGTACCTGGGTCCTGCACCCGCTTGGGAGACCAGGAGAAGCACCTGGCTCCTGGCTTCGGATCAGTGCAATGCGCCAGCCGCAGCGTGCCAGCCATTGGAGGGTGAAGCAATGGCAAAGGAAGACCTTTCTCTCTGTCTCTTTCTCTCACTGTCCACTCTGCCTGTCAAAAAAGAATTCTCAAAAGAAACAAACTCGATAGGATACACAG